TAAGCTGGGGTGCTTGTGGCTCATGTCTGTATCCTAGCTACTCAGGAGGCAGAGATCAGGAGGATCTTGGTTTGAAGCCAGCCCAGGCAAATAGTTCTCAACCCTATTTTGAAACAAACCCTTCACCAAAAAGGGCTGATGAAGTGGCTCAAGGTGTAGACCTTGAGTTCAAACCCCTGTACTGCAAAAAAAAAAAAAAGGTAACTGAGGGCTGGGGGCATGGCTGAAGTGTGTGCTTACCTAGCAAGCTTCCCAAGGAACTTGTATTACAGGTGCATATTGCTATGCCCACGCCCCCTTGTTTTTCTTCCCGTGTCTCTCTTTCCCTCTTCTCTTCCCCTTCCTCCCTCTCTCCTTCCTTGCCTCTGTATCCCAGACGGGTCTGGAGAGATCTTCCTGACTCTGCCTCCCCAGTGCTGGGATTCCAGGTGAGTACCACCATGCCCGCATTCTCATTTCTTGACTGGTCATATCAGAAGGTTTCAAGGAAGAGATGCAAAACCGTATTTTAAGAATTAGGGCCATCAAACAAGTCAAGGATCTCATTGGGCTAAGGAGTAGTCCGCGAAGCTTTTCCAGCTCTGCTTCTCTGGATTTTTTTTCCATGTGATGGGGACAGCCAAGCTTCCCAAGCCTTTCCCATTCAGAAAAGTCTGCTGGGCAGAGGACCTTTTTTTTGCTTCCCTCCCCTCAGTTCCCGTTTGTAATCTCATTAGATTTTTGTTTGGATTTGGATGATGATTGGAGGCATCCCTAGGGAACAGTCTGTTCTCAGAAGACCTGGAGGCAACAGGGAAGTGAAGAAGCTAGGCACGTAAACAAGCATCTGCCACGTGTCCATTGCCTTCTCGAGCCCATGATGTGTAATCCATTTTGATACTTGATGGAAACAGCAAGAAATATTTTTTCTACCATAAGAAAATTGGTACAAACATCATAAAATAAAATCCTCCATATCTGAACGGGTTATAAAATGGAATTAGGGCCATGGGACACTGACAAATTGAAGAGGTTTTCTTCTGCAGAGCACTCCAAAGCCCTTGATCTTTGGCATTTTGCTATGCTGCTTAAGTTGGCTCAGAGGTTATAGCTGATAATTAGAAAGGTTTTAATAATTTATGCTTCTTACATAGATTCCCTCCCCCGCCCCAAGCAGAACAACAAACACAAAGGACCCACAACATTGGGCCTATGTACAAGAGACTTAGCCACAATTTGGAAAGCCAAGGTCTCTTTTAATGATGATTCCCATCGGATGTATGCCCATATTGGTCCAGAGCCTGGGGGAGTGGTGCTGCTTTATCGTATGTTCATCTCACCCAGGCCAAGATTGTGTTTTTACTGATTTGAGAATTATTCAGTAATACTTAGCAATTAATTTGAGAAATTAAAAAGAATTTTTAATACTTTTTCTATAAAAGTACTTATATTGGCATTGCCAGTATACTGGGCCAAATAATGTACCACACAATGCAAATTGCTCCCAACCTGTCGCTTGAGCCTTTGAAGGTCTTGCTGTAATTTTTAGGTCATGGACTGTATTTGTGATTTTTGTATGTGGAGGGGGAACTGGGGAGGACAGGGGGAATGCTCCCTTTTGTTCATTATATTATTTTGCTCTCAGAATAGGGGACTAAGATCCTGACAGGTCCACTGGAACTGACTTCTGAGAGAATTGATGTTTCCTTTGACCCATGGAAGTGTCTTCCTAACCAAATCATGTGATAAAGTCTTACCACCTTCCTGTTAAAGAGGAAACAAGGAACATACAAGATTTGGTATTATACCTTTGAAAAGCAGATTTGAAAGAATAAACAAAATGCCCACTTATTTTTACTTTAGCATTGATATTCTCTGTCTCCTGTCTCCCAAAGACCTTGTAGTCCAGTGGATCTGGCTGTTTTTTTTTTGTTTTTTAGTGTGCTGGAGATAGAAACCAGTGCCTTGTGCATACTAGGCAAGTGCTCTACTACTGGGTCACTTCCCCAGATCCTTTTATTTCTTTAGTAAATTTCCAATGGGGCTTTGACAAGACTGTTCTTAAGTTGGCCAAACATTTCCATTTTCATGTTTTTAAAAGTAAGGAAAATAGTATGCTTAAACAGAATTTTAAAATAAGTTGGGCATGGTGTCTAGTGCATTCATGCACTTGGGAGGCTAAGGCAGGAGGATGACAGCTTGAGGCTAACTTGAGCTGAATAGTGAATCCCAGGCCAGCCTGGGGTGAGACCCTGTCTCAAACAAACAACCATTAAAACAGTTACTTATTTTGGGACTCTGTGGTACATTCCATTATATAAGGTCTAGAGTAATGGAGATGCACAGGGAGGTCCTCCTCTTCCCTCTCACCTTTTCTCTTTTTTTTATGTTGGTACTATGATTTGAACCCGGGGCCTCACACATCATGATCTACCACAGTGCTACATACCAGCCCTTTTTAATTTTACTTGAGACAGGGCCTCACTTAGTTGTCCAGGCTGGCTTTGAATTTATCATCCTACCACTTCAGTCTCCAGAGTAGTTGAGATTATAGGCCTGTACCACCACACTGGCTCAGGAAGTCTTCTGACCTGCAGCTAGCAAGTGCAGAGGTAACTACTCAGAAATGGTTATTTATAGTGTATCTTTGTATATAACCAGTCAGGTCTATTAGTCCCACTTATGAACTTAACAGACGATGATAACCTGAAACAGTGTTTACCTGTGTCATATGATACTATTACATATCACACTATAAAGAGCTTCTTTATCTTTTTTTTTTTTTCTTTTTGGTGCAGTAGTTTCCATTGATTCCTTCTATTGTAATTTTTTTCATACTTCCCTACAATTGTCTGTTGGAATTGAAGTTTCCAGTCTCTTTAACTGCTGTCAGTAAAGCTTAAGTGATAGCCTTCCTAAATCTACAGGACAGAGGGTCCTAATAATGTCTTTTATAGTGTGCATATGTGCAAAGGTTGCATCAGGTTGTGTGTCCTTAAGTGTGGGATCATTACTGAATCTTGCTTTGTGTTTCATGACATTGAATTTTGAGAAGTACAGGACATTTATTTTGTAGAAAGTCTCAAATTGGGTTTGCCTCCTGTTTCCTCATGGTGAGACCATGTAAGTAGTACTGTGTTCTTAGTGGATACGATGGCAAGTGTGTGCTGGCCGTCTTACAGCCATTGCTGGCCACCTTAACTCTGATTATGTGCTTAAAGCCTGTCTGCCAGGTTTCTCTGCTGCAAGTTACTATTTTTCCTTTGTAATTAATAATAACCTTGTGCTGTGACACTTGGAAATAGTGTGAATATTGTTCATCTTTTTTCTCTACCCACCACTCTATAATGGAGGAAATACTGTTGATTCTGTAGCTGCCTTATGCCAGTAGCCATGGGTGATTCTTGCCTGATTGTTCTGGTGGATGCCGAATGGTGATTTTTGTAATCCTCTGGTTCCTTCCACTTTGATAAGCTGGCTTTCTTTTAGAAGGAAGACAGTTTTCTTTAATTCATCCACCCATCTCATGGCAAAATCATGAGCTCATGATACAGTAGCTTTTAATCCTATTATTTGTTTTGGTTGGTTGTAATTCTGCTACTTATTGCTTGATTTGGCCCTTGGGTGGGGGGACCCCCATTTGTAGGCGACTCTGTCCTTTTACCATGTTCCTGTTTTCTTCGGGTGCATCCTTATTTTGGGGGCACAGGAAGATGTTATAAGTTTATATTGTAATTTCCCTAAGGAGTACTGGGTTCTTTTAGTGAAGAATATTTAGAAATCAAGGTCTGCCTACTAATTAGAGTTTGTTATTTGTTCCTTTTATCTTTAGCTTGCAGATACTACTTAATGAGCTTTCTGGTTAATGACTGTTCAAGTGACACTTGAACAATTGAAATGAATTTTTTTTTTTTGAAAGGTTCTCACTGTGTAACCCAGGTGGACCTTAAACTCAACAGTCTTGCCTCCTTCTGCTTTCTCAGTGCTGGGATTCTATGCCCTACCACCTCTGGCTCTTTGTTTGATTTAGGGGTCCTCCTATCCTTACTGATTTGTGTGTGTGTGTATATTCCAGAAAATATTGACACAGCCACTAATTCAACAATATCTGAGCACATTTTCAGAGAACGTTTACATAGCCCTTCTTTTTCTTTTCCTTTCTTTTTTCATTTCTTAACTTTTTCCTTTCTTTCCATTCATGCTGTTTCCTTTTTTTGCACAAATGAGCAAATGCACATCTATTTTCAAATTTTCCCATCTTTTTTACATAAAAAATAACATACTATAATATAAAATAATATAATATATCATGAAAATGATTCCACATCAGTTATGGCTTCGTAGTAGTGTTTTGTTTTGCGGTTGCATAGCATTTCATTGTAGGTTACACTACTATTCTCTGTGTTTAGGTTGTTGCCAGTATTTTGTGATTAAACATTCTGTAATGAATAACCTAATGTAGTTGTTTTCGCATCATTGAAGGTGTACCTTCAGAGTGAATCCTCAGAAATGAGATTGGTAGATCAAAAGGCAGCCTTAGATAGTTTCGTCAAATCCCTTCCATAAAAGCTCTTACCAATTTGCATTCCTACTGGCACTATATGTGTGTTTCTCCACATCCTCACAAACTGTTGGTCTTGTTTTACTTCCTTGGTTTTGCGAATGTTATAGACAAGTAGATAAGAAATGATATTTCATTGTAGATTTATGATACTTTATAGTGCTCGGGATTGAACCCAGAGTCTTGTGCAAGCTATGTATGTGTGTGACCACTGAGCTCCCCTCCCAGCCCACCAAAAAACGATTATTTTAAAAAAAGAAACTCCACAATCATTAGTCATTTCCCTACCCTCCATTGTGTTTTTTTCTTTTTAAAATTAGCATAATAATTACATAAGACTGTTTATTATGGGATTTTCATATATGTGTATATGTATGTATATATGTATAAAACATATATATGGTGTACTTTATCTCTGCTGCATATTTTTAAATTAAACAATACATATTTTTTTTCATAGGCGAAACTGCAAAGGAAATCCGAATTGTTTGGTTGGGATTGGTGAGCATGTTTGGTTAGGAGAAATAGATGAAAATAGTTTTCATAACATCGATGATCCCAACTGTGAGAGGAGGAAAAAGGTAAACCATCACATCTGAAGTGATTGCCTTATGGTGTTCTTCAGGTTTCATTTTGATTTGTACCTGTAATCAGAAAGCACTACTGGGCTGGGCTGGGGTATGGCTCAGAGGTGTTGCTTGCCTAGCATGTGTGAAGCCCTGGATTTTTTTTTTTTTTTTTTTTTGCGGTACTGGGGCTTGAATCATGGCCTTCACCTTGAGCCACTCCACCAGCCCTATTTTTGTGAAGGATTTTCCAGACAGGGTCTTGTGGAATTATTTGCCTGAACTGTGATCTTCCTGATCTGTGCCTTCTGAGTAGCTAGGATTACAGGTGTGAGCCACCAGTGCCCAGCAAGGCCCTGGATTTGATCCCCAGCACCACAAGAAGAAGAAGAAGAAGAAAAAAAAAAAGGAAAGAAGCTTCTATTGATTTCAGGTGTCCTGTGCAACTTTCAGATAAGTAGTGGAACTTAAGACTCAAAGTCACTTGAATTGGAACAGTTCTTAAACTTCCCCCACTTTTTTTTTTTTTGGCGGTACTGGAGTTTGAAATCAGGACCTCATGCTTGCTAGGCAGGTGCTTTGCCACTTGAGCCACTCCGCCAGCCCTTTTTGTGTGTGTGTATGTTGGGTATTTTTGAGATTGAGTCTTGCGGACTATTTTGTCCCGGGGCTGGCTCCTAACTTCGATCTGCTAATCTCTGTCTCCTGAGTAGCTAGGTTTACAGGTGTGAGGCACTGGTGCCCAGCATTTTTAAATTTTTTTTTATTTTTTAATGAACTTCAGGCTGGGCTAGTTAGGCCTCACTAGCCACAGTGAAATCATGTGCACCTTCATCTTATTTTTCATCATGCTGGGAATCAAACCCAGGGCCTTGAACATGTGAAGCCTGTTTCACTACTGAGCTATGTTCCCAGCCCCACCCCGACCCCTCCAAGCATTATACTTTAGAACAGGTACTGTGTAATCCACTAAGTCTTTAAATAGTTTTAGTTTGAATGCTGAGTCTGTGTTTGCTTTAACATTGATTTTACTTTGAACTTAAAATGTCTTTAAAAGAGTGATAATAGTAATATAACATTGCTTTTTAGGGCTTGTATTTTATACATGTTTTTATGTTTTTATACATAGTTACATGTATTTATACATAAAAGCCTTACTTTAAAAAAAAAACTGTTGATGTTTCTTAGCCTTAAAGCCTGACATGCACAGAGCAATCAGCTATGTTGTTATGTAGATATTTTGCCTATTAAAAGGAATCATTCCTTACAAGTTTAAGATTTGTCAATCTTTGGAAAAATTTGGAACCAGTTCCCTTCTCCCACCCCCAGTCTTCCAAATCTAGGATATGAAGGAACTTTTCTAGAAGTTTTACTTTGCCCTTCTATTGAACGCTGGCAGTTTAGGAATAGAGCCAATGAAAAGCCTCTGTATACGTGTCCATTCTTTTTGAGAATCACCTATTACAACTTTAGACTTAAGTGTCTGGAGAAGACCATTTGTGGAAGACGAGCAGTGATGCTGTCCAACATCTTTTCCACTACTGTGGTCAGTCCACAGTGGGCGTTCTGAAAATTCTGCACCCCCTCTAGCTACAGGAGGCTTAATGAGGTTATACCATGCCAGTTATAAGTCTGACACGTTTTTGATATGAAAATTAAAAACAATGGAGTTACTTATAAACTTGTAGTTTAGCAGGAAATTAATTTTATTTTTGGTAGTAGTGAGGCTGAACTCAGGGCCTAGTGCAATCTATGTTAGGCAGGCAGTCTACCACGTGAGCCACAACACCAGCACAGGAATTAATTTTATAATTGTAAATCTTGTGTTTTTGTAGAACTCATTTGTGGGCCTGACTAACCTTGGAGCCACTTGTTATGTCAATACATTTCTTCAAGTGTGGTTTCTCAACTTGGAGCTTCGGCAGGCGCTGTACTTATGTCCAAGTACCTGTAGTGACTACATGATGAGAGATGGTGTCCAAGAAGAGAAAGGTTGGTGGGGATGGGTGGAGGAACGCTCACCCTGAGTATATTGCCAGCTTGATCACTTCTGGCCCAGCCCAAAGGAGGAGATTCAGCACTTGTTACATTCCAAGCAAGAAGCCCTAAGTTCAAGCCCCAGTAGTGCCAGGGTAAAAAAAGACCTAGTACCATGCTTGGAATGCTATTGCTTCATATTTAGAGATTTCCTCTTTTTTTTTCTTTCTTTTTTTTTTTCAGACAGGTTCTCAATATGTAACCAAGGTTTCCCTTGAACTTGGTATGTAGCCCAGGTTGGCCTGAACTATCAATTCTACTGCATCACATTCCTCCAGTGCTGAGATTACAGTCCGGCCGTGCCTGACTGAGAGTTCCTCTTTGAGTTGGGGCTTTCATAAAATGAACTAGATATTTTTCTTTTTCTCAAAGATGGGGCATGAGATAGTGAGTGAGAAGGTTATCCATGTCTGAGAGCTGCAAACTGGGAAGCTTCGATTCTTTCTCTCTGTAAATTCCTTGCTGTCTTTTTTTCTTTTTTTTTTTTTTAAAGACAAGGTCTTACCATATAGCCTAGGCTAGCCTTGAACTTCAAATCCTCCTGCGTCAGCCTCCTAAGTGTTGGGCTTACAGATGGGTAGATGTGTAACTCCCTGCCCAGTAGTCTTTTTTTTAAAATAGCTAATTTAGCTAAGCATGTGATCCACGTCTTTTTAACCCCCTTATCGCTTCTACACGTTAGAAATACTTTTGCATTTTGGTCCTGGTTAATAGTAATATTTGCTTCAAAATACGGCACTTAAAAATTCTTTAGGGAAGGATGTAGCTCAGTGATAGGGCGCTTGCCTAGCATGCAAGAGGCCCTGGGTTCGATCCCCCAATACTACCAAAATGCAAAACAAAATATTATAACTTTGTTTCCTTGATGCTTTATTCCTATAGTTCTGTGTGTTTTAATCTGAGTAAATAGTACATTAATATTTATTAATATTTAAGCAATAGTGTATGTAAAAAGATAAGGAATTTAAAATGAATCATGATATAGGGTTTGAGATAGGGTCTCACTATGTAATCCAAGCTGACCTTCAACTCATGACACTCCTGCTGTTGACTCCCACAATACTAGGATTAAAGTTGTGTGCTCCCAGGTCCGGTGGAAGTAGGATCTTTTGAAAAGAAAAACAGTAACTTTTAAAAAACAAGCCTACATTTTTCTACTAATAGATTATGAGCCTCAGACAATTTGTGAGCATCTCCAGTACTTGTTTGCACTGCTGCAGAACAGTAATAGGCGATACATTGATCCTTCAGGATTTGTTAAAGCCTTGGGCCTGGACACCGGACAACAGCAGGTAAGAAATTTTTGATATTCAGAGATTTTCAAGTGTTCTTTAAAATGTTCATAAAGGAAGATGAAATAGGATGCTTTTAAAAATTAATTTTTCTGTTTTGAATTATTTGTACCTTTATTTACTCTCGCATGTGCTTTACTTTACACCTGATTCCATTTCTGAAAATTTCTGTATGGACACAAACACTGGTTCAACGGAGCTGTAATCCTCGTTCTAAAATGCCAAGTTAAACAAGTAGTTTCTGGAAACATTATTACCATTTGTGTTGGGGGTTCTTAAACAAGATATAATTTTTCGTTCCACTAATCCGAATTTGTAGGATGCCCAAGAATTTTCAAAGCTCTTTATGTCTCTGTTGGAAGATACTTTGTCTAAACAAAAGAACCCAGATGTGCAGAACATTGTGCAGCGGCAGTTCTGTGGGGAGTATGCTTACGTGACTGTGTAAGTCGATTCCGACTTTTTCACCAAGCATTTTATTGTAAGACAGTTGCTCGTATGTTATTTAATTTTCAGTTCAGTCAAGTTATTGCTTCAGTGGGTTATCATGGGACTGAAGTATTTATAGTACTGTTTCCATGGGAAAATGTAAACAACCAGCTTGATAATTGCAATTGCACCCTCCAGGTGCTGGTAACTGTGTCTGGCTGAACTCGTGCCACTTGCTTTATGGCTGTGTGGTGTGGATTGAAAGAGTAAGATTGGGGCTGGCTAGAGAGTGAAGAGTAAATGTGCAGCACCTCTTAGAAATTCCCCAGTCATAAAGTAACCTCCTTTCACCATCACTTTTTCTTTGTGTTTAACTTACTTGTAGGGTAAATAACTTCTGCTACAGAAGCAATTAAGGTTACATCTTCCTAGGATGTGATACATTAGCACTTCCTTGTTTATCTCACACTAATCTTAACTAATCACTCTCTTTTATTGTAGTTGCAATCAGTGTGGCAGAGAGTCCAAACTTTTATCAAAGTTCTATGAACTGGAGTTAAATATCCAAGGCCACAAACAGTTAACAGATTGTATCTCAGAATTTTTAAAGGTATTTGCATATATATTAATTCTGCTCATTAATAGTTAAATGCTATTCTGAATGGTATTTTAATTTGATTATTATTTTAGACTTTTTTATATATGAAGTTTCAGTGTAAGGATCTGGAAAGAAACTTTATAAACTATGGAAGCAGGCAGCATCTTCATGTAATTTTTGGTTATTACAAGTTATTTTATATGTAGTTACGTGTGTGGTTGGGGGTAGTAGAGTAAGGAAATCCGAGTTCTGTTACCATAAAGCTAATTTGCCTTTTCATGTAATGAGAACTAGGATGCATTAAAGGCAATTTTTTTTTAATAGACTATGATCATTCTTCAACCCCTCCACTCCATATTTCTACAGGTTTGAACTCAGGGACTTACACTTGCTCAGCAGGTGCTTTACCATTTGAACCACACCCCCAGTCCTGTGAGTTCTATCTTGAATAGGCCGAAGGTGGGGTCAGGGCAGACGGAGGATGAAGGAGGTTTGGTTGCGTGAACCAAGGGTTAGCTCAAGAGGTGATAAGTACTCTTTGGCTTTTAGATACAGACTTTCAAAGTAGAGTCAATAAAATTTGTGTAGTGAGTATAGAGCAAAAGATAGAGTCGAGGTGTTTCAGACTGGTGCTGGGGGTGTGGCTTAAGTAGTAGAGCACTTGCCTAGCAAGCTCATGTCCTAAATTCAAACCCCAGTATTGTATACATACACACAAAAGCTTGGCCGGGTGCCAGTGGCTCGTGCTTATAATCCTAGCTACTTGGGAGGATTGAAACTCAAGGCCAACCTGTGTAAACAGTTCAAGAGACCCCCACCTCCAAAATAACCAAAGCAAAATGCACTGGAGGTGTGGCTCAGGTGGTAGCACCTACTTAGCAAGCACCAAACCCTGAGTTCAAAACCCAGTTCCACAAAAAAAAAAAAAAAAAAGGTTTGGCTTTAATCATATTACATTTGAAGGATAGTATGAGGCGGAGAAGTCAGGGCACAAAGAGGGCTAAGTTCTGAGTCCTGAGACTTTCAAATGTGAAGCAATCAGGGAGATTGAAGCAGCTGGCAGACAGAAGGGTGTGGCGAGGGAGTTAGGAGGACATAAGCAAGTGTGGTATCCTGGAAACCAAATGGAGAAAGTGATGGCACCAGTATTATCTGTATCCAAGAGCAGTTAGAAAAATACAAAGAGGATTTTACAAAGGGAGCCTATCCACTATAGCATTTATGCTTTCTGTACTCCTCCTACAGCTTCATCTTATGAATGTGCTTCAGTAGTTGTAACCACATACATGTCTGCATGGAGTTTGTACCTGCTCCCTCTTCCACTATTTTTTGTGGTGGGGATCATACTCAGGGCACAAACATCCTAGGCATCTACCATTTGAGCTGTGCCCCAGCCCCCATCACTGGTTTTAATTTTGCATCAAAGTATGCGTTACATTTCTTTTTTCTTTTTTTTTTTGGCAATGCTGGGGTTTGAACTCAGCCTCACGCTTGCTAGGCAGGTACTCTACCACTTGAGCCACTCCACCAGCCCTTTTTTTCATGTGTGTGTGGTATTTTCGAGATAGGGTCTTGAAAACTATTTGCCTTGGCTGGCTTCAAACTAAGATTCTCCTGATGTCTACCTTCTGAGTAACTAGGATTATAGGAGTGAGCCACCGGCAGCTGGCCCTACATTTCTTTTTAAAACTTACTTCTTTATATTTTTTAAAATCATACATTTTGGAAATAGGCACATTACTTGTAAATATCTTTGTTTTGAAATTGGTAATGTCATAGCAGAGAAGTGCCTGTTAATCCTTCGTGGCTGTTATTTGTAGTAGCTTGATTTTAAACAATTTGAATGGGAGCTATTAACTAAATGAAATTATGTTTTACATCATAAATTTTATTGTTTGCTTTAAATTCTTCCGTTGTCTTCTGCGTTTTAAACTAATACTTCTTACTCCTGATCAGGAAGAAAAATTAGAAGGAGACAATCGATACTTTTGTGAAAATTGTCAAAGCAAACAAAACGCTACACGGAAGATTCGACTTCTTAGCCTTCCTTGCACTCTGAACTTGCAGCTGATGCGTTTTGTCTTTGACAGGTAAATACGTGCAAGTCGTAGGTTCCTTGTTCACTGTGAACTAACATCCAGATTTGCCATAGACACAGAAGATAATAAAATGATCAGAATTTGAAACTCAAGATTAGGAATGAAAGCTGTAGATGTAGCCTATGATTTTAAAATGTCACTATTTCATAGTAAAAATTTTAAAGAAGCCAACTAAGTTTAGCTGAGAAGCCAACTAAGTTTAGCTGAGAATTTTAGAAATAGGGAATTTTTACTTTTTTATTCCCTAAGAAATTATTTAAAACTATAAGGAACAGAATGAATTATTTTAACGTTCAGTGTGTGTAGTGTATTTTAAGTGGAGGAGATTTGCTACTCATTGCAATGCCCTCACTTCCGTGGGAATATATCTTCTTACAACTAAAACAAAGGCAACTCTGCATGTGTGCATGTGTTCATCTTTGGAAAATCCAAAGATCTTTGGAATCAGTACTTGGAATATTCATATCTTCTAATCTATTGAGTATTACTTCCCAATTATAAAATATAATTGTTTGCTTTGATCATGCATATTATTTGTTGGTAAGTGGAAATTATCTGCTGTGAGTTTATTACAAGAGCTGACAGAACTTACACTTTGTTATACTTTGGTTTCTGATTGTTTTAAATGTAAATGTAATCAGTTTTGCTCTTGGTTAGGCAAACTGGACATAAGAAAAAGCTGAATACCTACATTGGCTTCTCAGAAATTTTGGATATGGAGCCTTATGTGGAACACAAAGGTAATGTTTTTACCAAGCACTGAAAAGTGTAATGCTTAAGGCTGTTACTTAGGATCTTAGCAGATTACTGCTAATTTCTATTTGCTATGTCTGAGAAGAAAGACCTTTTTTTCTCTCTGTGTGTGTGTGTGTGTGTGTGTGTGTGTGTGTGTGTGTGTGTTTGGTGGGACTGGGGATTAGGTTTGGTACACCTATAATCCATGTTACTCTGGTTATTTTGGAGATGGGTGTCTCTAGAACTGTTGCCTTGAACCTTGATCCTGCCAAATAGCTAGGATTACATGCATGATTTACTGGTGCCCAACTTGCTTTAGTTATTTTTCAAACATGGTCTCAGGTTTGTACCCTTGCTGGGCTGGTCTGGCCTGGCCTGCCGGCCTCCTATTTACCTTTTCAAGTAGCTGAGATGACAGGTGCAAGCCATCATGCTCAGCTTTTTATTGGTCCAGATGGGATCTTGTGAACTTTTTGATCTAGGCGGCTTCAAACTATGACAGTTCTTATCTTCGCCCTCCCAGTAGTTAGGATTACATGTGTCAGCCACAACACCTAACTGAACACAGTCTTTTTTAGGGAAGACAAGATATTTCTTCTATTTTCTAAGAGGAAAGTATATTGGGTCTGGGGGTGTGGCTCAAGGGTAAAGCACTTGCCTAGAAAGTGGGAGGCCCTGAGTTCAAAGCCCAGTATGGTGATGGGGGAGTAAAGCACATTAAATCTACATGATCAAGGGTATAAAAATAATTTGAATAAAGTGTTTTGTCATGCCATCCAGCTTCACCCCTAATTCCTCTCATTGTCTTCTTTTTTCTTTTTTTTTTTTTTTGAAACAATGTCTTGCTGTTTTCCTCAGGCTGGCCTTGATTCTAGGGGCTGGGGTTACATGTGTATGCCACCATGCCTGGCTCCATTCACATTTTTATGTAGCCCAAGCTAGCCTCAAATGTGAAATTCTCTCGCTTCAATGTTCTGAGTGCTGAGATTGCAGGTTTGCACCATCACAACTGGCCTTTTAATTTTTTTTTTTTTTTTTTTTTGGTAGTACTGTGGTTGACAGACACCAGAACACTGAGCTGCATCCCCAGCCCCCACATCTGACCTTTTAAAAACCATTTTGTAAGAAACACTGTGTGATTCTATTATTTATGCTGTAATTCTTTCTGTGACTACTGATGTGCCCTAGGATACTATGTCATACTTTAAACAAGAACCAGTCACTAGTCAGGCAGTAGTGTTGGTGGTCCACACCTGTGATTGCAGCACTGAGAAAGCCAAGGGAAGAGGTTCACCATTAGTTTTAGGCCTGCTTGGGCTACGTACAGAGAGACGCTCTCTCAACAAAGAGCCAGATTACTCCTTTGTTCTTTTGGAAGTCTTCATCATACTAAACAGAATACAAACTTCTTGCTTTGACTAGAAGAACTGTCATTACTTCCCTTCTGAAGGTGGATCTTACTACTTCTAAAATTTTAGCATAGAAATCATTTCTCCCTAACTTTTTGTCCAGGCTGGCCTCAAACCCTGATCTTCTTGATCCCTGTCTTCCAGGAAGATGGGATTATGCATGGGAACCACTGTGCCCGTTCAGTTTGTTTTTGAGACAGGGTCTCCCTAACATTGCACAAGCTGGTCTCATATTTGCAATCTACCTGTCTCATGATTAGCTGGGATTGCAGATACGTGGTACAGGGGCCTGGCTTTTTTTTTCTTCCTTTTTTATTGTGGAATATAACACATTCATCAAAGTTCAAAATACACAAATGTATGACTCAGCAAATTATCTCAAAGTGAGCATCTGCATGAGTAGCACATGGACCAAGAAAGAAACTATTTCAGGGCCGGCCAAGGTGGCTCACACCTGATATCTCAGTTACTTGGGAGGCAGAGATCGCGAGGATCATTGCTCAAAGCCAGCCTGGGCAAAAAGTTAGGGAGACCCTATTTGAAAATAACTAAAGGACTGAGGGTATGGCTTAAGTTGTAGAGCACCTCCCTAACAGGTATGAGGCCCTGAGTTAAACCCCAGTACCACTTGTATCAGATAGGTCCGTATAAGTTTTAATTTTTGTAGCAGGGAGTGTGAACAGGTGGAGTTTTGGGGTTTTTTTTGGGCGGTACTGGGTATATTTTGTAGAGGGAATGGAGATTCAACATGGTATGCTGCTTAAAAGAATGTCTACTACGTTATTTTGTAAAACTAATAGAGTTTTTTTTTTTTTTTTAATCTTAGGTGACATTTTGAATTCTACCAGAAGTGTAAAGAATTACAATCATTGCAATCTTATGCTTGAGCTATAAGAAATACTGCTATCCAATGTTTCTTTTACCTTCTCCCTTTCTCCCTCTCCAGGTGGGTCCTATGTGTATGAACTCAGTGCCGTCCTCATACACAGAGGAGTGAGCGCTTATTCTGGCCACTACATCGCCCATGTGAAAGATCCACAGTCTGGTGAATGGTATAAATTTAATGATGAAGACATAGAAAAGATGGAGGGGAAGAAATTACAGCTAGGGATTGAGGAAGATCTAGGTAAAACCTTTAAGTTGTGAGTGCCCTTTTAAAATATAAATTATTTTTTTTACTGGAAATATTTGTGATACATATTATGGCCCAAGATTGTTATGTACTATCAAGAATATAGCTTCCTGAACACACATAAAATCACTCAACATCATTTATTAGCAATGCCTGGCTTTTTTTTTTTTTTTTTTAATATTTTACCCCAAAAAATGGTTCCATAATATTTTGCTTTCAGGAAAACTTGAAAAGAGTCAGTTTTTAAGTTATAGCCTTATTTTATAAGACAGGGGAAGATGGGGAATTAGGCTAAAAATGATTAATGGTAGATTTAATATGGGAGGATTTATAGGTTTTTTTTTTGTTTTTTGGTTTTTTTTTTGGTGGTACTGGTGTTTGAACTCAGGGCCTCAAGCTTGCTAGGCAGGCACTCTACCACGTGAGCCATGCTGCTAGCCTTTTTTTTGTGTGTGTTGGGTATTTTCAAGATAGGGTCTCTAGAACTATCTGCCCAGGCTGGCTTCGAACTGAGATCCTCCTGAGAGCTAGGATTATAGGCGTGATACACTGGCACCTCCTATCCTTTTCTTGGAGTCAGGAAATTACTTTTGGAAAGTCACTGCAGCAGAGGAGCTTTGCTCTGAGACTGGCCTCTTCCTCCCTGACGTGTGAGGTAGTGCTAGGGACAGAGCCACCTGGTGGTGAGTAGTTGGGAGGTTGTCTTCAACTAAGTGCCTTAGACAGGGTCCTTCTGTGGAGCAATCATTGCTTCAGTTGTCTTAGGCCAAAGTGTGCAGTCATTTCTCAAAAAAGTGGTGCTACTTCTGGTGGAGCCATCTGTGCTGAGCTTTTCACCCTCGTCTTCTGTGCTTGTCATTTTGTGTAAGGGTCGTAGTGTGAAATTGAGTGGGAGGAGATCCTAGGGCAGTAATTACAGTCTTCCTGTTTGGAGAAGTTTGCATTCATGGACTTTCGGTAAACTTGCTCCCATTTTACCTAGGTAATGCTCAAGTGTTTTTTTTAATTTTTTGTTATTCGTTTATTCACATGTGCATACACTCTTTGGGTCAATTCTCTCCCATGCTCCCCTCCCCCCACCCTCTCCCCCCTCCCCCCCTTTTTTGTTTAATAAATTTTTTATTAGGATATATTCATTATATGGGGAATCAAGTTTTTAGTATTTGTTTTTATTTTATATATGTGTACATGTATATACATATAATTTTAACGATTTTTTTTTTTTTTGCAGTAGTGGGTTTCAATTTAGGGCCTTGCACTTGATAAGCAGGTGCTCTAAGCCATGCCCCCAGCCCTTTTTTGCTTTAGTTATTTTCAAATAAGGTCTTGCATTTTGCCTGGGTTAGCCTCAGACCTCCTACCTATAATCCTACTAAGCTGGGATTATGGATGGATACCACCACACCTGGCTTATTGATTGAAAGATAACTTTTTGCCAGGGCTGTGGTTATAGGTATGAACACTACATCTGATGTTTTAATGAGATGATTGAGAACTTTGTTTTGACTGAGTAAGAGGTTTATATTGCATTTGTAAAATGAGAGATATTTGTGGAAGGAGAGAGAAAAATCATGATGGAGCCTCAGTGTTGAGGCAGATCCATTTCAGAAGAGTGCCTAGTGGGCTGAGGACCTCGAGCGTTGCTTTCCTTGGAATTGCCTGGGACTTGTTATCTCTTGAAGTTACCTTGGGTCACTCAAACCCAATTTCAAGGGTACTTTTCTGTGATGGACTTCATGGAAATGTTTGCCACTGGCTACTTGCTACTTGAATTCATAGAGATTTGTAGATTTTCTGACACTGGCATCTCATTCTGTTGGTGGTGTTTTTTTTTTTTTTTTTTTTAATCTTCTTCTGGGCAATTCATTTGAATGTATTTTGACTGAATTAAAGAATTCCTGTTTTTTAAAATGATTAATGATCTAACTTTTGCTTTTCAAACTGTGCATGTACATTGTCTATATATCCTTACTTAAAAACAATAGTAAAACAAGTACTTGTATATCAAGCACTCAGGGTATAAATAAAAGCCATTATCATGAGTGTTACAGTCCCATGTTTCCCTCAGTAATTACATTAATCTGAATTGACTTTTATAATTTAAAACTAGCATTCAAATCAAGTCATAGTGGTAGTAGTAGTTTATTGTAGTCCTTAGGACTAGAATATTTGTCCTTGTAAAAAATAGTACTTTTTTCATCTTGTAAAAATAGAGTGTGACAAGCATGTCTACATAGTAATCGTTTTAAAATAGTCCCCAAATTTAATGACCTCACTAAATTTGTATTGCCTTTTAATGTTTTAGATACATGTTAACGTGTAGCCTCCCTCCCCCCACCAAAGAACAAATTATGGGCAATCTAGTTAAATTGTCTTAATTTTTCTACCCCAGCAGAACCTTCCAAGTCCCAGACACGCAAACCCAAGTGTGGCAAAGGAACTCACTGTTCTCGGAATGCATACATGCTGGTTTATAGACTGCAAGCCCAAGAAAAGCCCAACACGATGATTCAAGTTCCAGGTAATCTCGTTTTTCCAGCATGATACAGGCAGACATTTTAGAATGACATATACCAAATTGCTTTTATTGTGATAGGTGATTCCGTGTGGTAAAGGTTATCACAAATTTGCTTTAAAGTTGAGAGCTTTTGAAATAAGGAGCTTTGCTCCCATCCAAAGAAAGGAGAAAGCAGTCTTTTAAAAAACATTTGGTTTTGTTTTGTTCAGTTTATAGAGCAAAAGAAGAATTGCTGCTGGCCTAAGGCCGCTTCCATCAGCCCCACACACTGTGGTTCCACCTATTTTGAAGTAGTGTTTCCGAGGCATTCGGCAGTTTTGGGTGGCTGATGACGATGTGGAGAACTAGGTGGGGGAAAATCACCTGGGTTTATTTCAGTGTCTGCAGTTTTACCTTCTACCTTCACATTGGAGGTCTGTAGCAGAAGGAAATTGCCACCACAGTGTTAGCTGATGTTTGATATAGTTTAGAGGTTAGTGTGGTTTTTTGTCTTTGCAAACAAGGGTAACTTTTTTCCTTTCTGTTTTGAATAGCCTTCCTTCAGGAGCTGGTAGATCGGGATAATTCCAAGTTTGAGGAGTGGTGTGTTGAAATGGCTGAGATGCGTAAGCAAAGTGTGGATAAAGGAAAAGCAAAACACGAAGAGGTGAAGGAGCTGTACCAAAGGTTACCTGCTGGAGCTGGTCTGTAAGATATTCCAGGACGGCACTATTGCCATTAAGTGCCTTATTTTTTTATGTTCATAAAAAAATGTGTATGAACAAACTTTTTCCTACCCTCATAACCAACTAAAGCCAGCCCCTAACTCTCAGTCCGTGCTGGTTTATGCAGTAATGTGTAGCATCCCATATAGTTTTCATTATCATATGGTTTTTAAAATGGAAAACCATTAATAGATTTAGGTCAGTGCTCTGTATACATGGTTTATAGAACTTTTTACTTCATGAGATACTAACTTGTTTCTAAAGACAGGTATGCTTGGATTACTGTGGACGCAACCTGCCCATTCTATCTCTGTATACTTTATGCCCTAATGTCACAGGCATACTTTTATTTGAGTACAGTTTTTGATATTCTTAGATTAACTTGAATGTAACAACTGTTATGCTAGGAGTAGAAAAGCTTTCCAGTGCACCTCTGATTTCTTAGAATTACCTACCTAATCCACTCATCCTTTTATTGTCTGTTTATTCAAGTTTACCCAGTATCTTAAAGGAAGCCAACACTTTTAAGGCGGATACACCTTTGATTACAATAAATTGTGTTTGTCATTTCTAAGACACAAATTCCTCAAACCTGACTTCTTTGTACAGAGCGGAGGAAATTTAGTCCTAACTTAGAAAATAACCATGCAAACGTAATTGTACTTGTGGTTTTGTCCTTTTCATATCTTAATTTTCCATTACTGATAAAAGTTTAAACCAAAGATGGCAGTAAATTGCTAAATCTGCAAGAATAGTTTCTAGAAGTTCTTACTAAAAGCTGGGGATGTAGTTAGTTTGTAGAGCACTTGGGTTCAATCCCTAGTACCACCACTACCACCAAAAAAAAGCTGCTTTGTAATATTATTTTTACTGTGTTTGACAGTTGGGAATAGCCTAAGAAAATGTCACTGGCCTCCATTTAACTGGAAATAAACCCTTGGTTCAAAGAAAAAAAAAGAAAAAAAACCCATAATTCACATCCCTAAATTTTTGGGGGGTGGGAGGCGGTATTGGGGTTTGAACTCAGGGCCTCATGCTTGCTGGGTAGGCGCTGTACCACTCGGTCAGTCCACCAGCACAACATAGCTAAATTTATCTGTCTCTGTTCAACGGAAGTGGAACATAGAAAATCTGTTTTCTGAACTTTATTCACAGCTTCTTCATATTCTACCCAGGAGAAAGGGACTTCCTGGAGCTAAAGTGAGATGGTATTGGGACAGCCGGCAGTCTGGCTAAGTGGTAGAGCACTAGAGGCTGTGGCTTGATCCCAGCACTTTTAAAAAAACAAAAAGGTGCTGTTGGGAACCACTCTTAAAACTGTGCTGCTCAAAGATATTATATGACAAGTTAGCACTGTACTTCCCATGAGTGTTTTATTTAGTCTCTCAGATCCTGTGCTTATGTTTTTAGATTTTTTTTCTCTGTTTTTTATTCTTTTATGAAGCAGGCTTTATATTTCTTCCCCATTTACAGTAAACTTCCATAATGGAAAATCTGTGTTGTCCTAAAATGATGGAAAATCTGAAAGTCAGTGGCCATAGTTTTGTGCTGCCAACCAAAGTCTTTTGTTATGCATTTTTTTAAAAAAGTTTTTATTAGTATATGATAGTTGTACAGGGGATTTCATTGTGTTCGTTGTGACGTTGCCATATATACATATGTTGTATTCTGGTTTGGTTCATCCCGTTGTTAGGTATTTTTTTAAATCTTAGCTTTGTGAACAGACTTATAAAAGAGTCATTAATCCTAAAATCAAGCCTCATTGGAAACAATCCCTTTGGTCCTGATTATTTAAATAGAAATGTCCTTAAATTATCTTTATGTAAAGTGTTTCAAATGTTTTGGTACTGTGATTGGTCCAGATGCTATAAATTTCCAAAAGAAAATTTATTGTGTTCAAAACCCAGAAATTTTTTTGAACTTTGGTCCAAAGTTATTGCTAATATTTCTCCTTGGTAAATATTCTAACGGTTGCTTTTCTGGTTTATCAAACACTGAAATTTATGGTTCAGTATCTCCACTTGACAAGGAGATAAGAGTTCTCTCTCCTGCTTGGCAGCTGACTGCCATGCCTTTGGAAGGCAGGGCTGGGTTGATTATTGAGATACATACTGAGACACATCTTCAATATTCTTGCCAGGAGTCTTTCTGTATGGCAGAATCGTCTATGTATAAAACCTTCCACAAGCAGAGTCTGTCTTAATCATGAGCCTATGTTCAACCCTAGTTCTCATGGGAGCTCTTGGAGAGATCCACATAGCTCTTTATAGAAGTAGAGATTGCAAACAGAAAGACAGACCTATAGGCACAGCCACTCCTCCTTCCGTGTGGGTCCTCCAGCATACCAACATGAAATCAGGAAAATTTGCAGAGTTAATGTTAAGCATGGTGTTAGATCAAAATTATGGATCCAGTCTCTGCTCTTTCTTCCTCCTCTTACTATAAAGTCACGTGATTTTCCTAATCATTTTATCTTACGTTCAATTCATGTTAAACTACTCAAAACCAAAACAAGCTTTGTTTGGAAGTTTTCTATTGGACTTTTGTCATAAGGGATTGGAAAATACTGACCTACCCACCTCTAAGTCACATTGTTGTTCAGTGGGTCAGAGTACAATCCCTGGGCCTTAAGTTCCAAAGATACCCCCTGGTAAGGAGTGTTTTGTGTACTCTTCATTGTCCTAGATTCCTTTCCTTGCAATAGTTAGATTCTCAGGTTTATTCCTTCAGTTAGCAACTGCAGGTATTTCCCTCTTTGCACCTATCGCTGGTCTGTTGGGGAAACCAGAATATCTGAGGAATTATTCTTGAATGTTGCCCTACATCATAATCCTGTTTTCCTTGAAGAAGAATCTTTAAGATGACTCTAAAGTTTAATCCATGTGACTGTCCTTGGAAATAATAGCTATGCCAAGACTTTTTACTTAGCTCTCAGACAAGGATCGTTTATCTTTGCATTCTCCAGATGACCAGTGTTCTTTGTGCCTGCAGGTTAAACCTGGAAAATGGCAAATAAAATGGCAGGTGTTTTGAATGTATTTAGCTACACCATGATATACTGTAGGACATTCCAACTATTTACTGTTCTGCATCTTAAGGTCTCCTCTTTTATATATTGTGTGAATGTGTAATTAACTTTTCTGTATCTCTTTTCTTCCAAAAAGCTCAAAATGCTTCACATATCTTATCTTTTACACCCAACAACATCTCTGTGAGGTAGGTAGAAGGCAGGTATTATTACCCTTCATTTTACAAATAAAGACCTGAACATAGAGAGTTTAAGTGACTTGCTCAAGTTCACTTTCTCCATGGCAGAACTTGGATTAGACCTTGGTCTCAACTGGCAGTCCTGTGCTCTTCTGTGGCAGCCTCACAGCTACCCAGTTGGAGGCACTTTGATGGTGTCCAGTTTTAGCACAAATAAGGGTTTTGACAGTTCTAAGTTTTGTTTTTGTAAAAATGAAAAATGTTTTACAGTATAAGTGTGAGTTGGCTTTTCTATAAGTGCAACTCTTGGGAATATGAAATAAGTCAAGATGGGCATTGTGCTGAAGTATCTATCCCTCAGATTTCATCAGAAGTAGAATATAATATAAATACATAAATTCAATCTCTGTATGTTCTTTTCTATGTTTTATGCTGGGACTCACTGGAGATCTTTGTAAGTAATCAAAGCTGTCCCTTTATCTTTAATTTTGGCTTTTAGGGAACTCTGGGACTCTCTTTCCCCAAATTAAAACTCATTTCGAAGTATTTGATTTTGGCTTAATTTTTGTAACTTCAAAATTGAAGACAATTCAGTTCTAGTGTCCTTCATCCTAGAACTTGTTTAGAATAGGTTACTTTCTTGAAATAAACAATAAAATGAATAGATCGTGACTTTGATTTTGGTGGGGGTAATACAGACCTTTTCTTAGTCAATGTCAGCCTCATCTTGGAGGCAGAAAAGATCAGTGGTTGAAATGGGCTTGTGAAGTGTGATTGTAGCCAAAAAAGTTAATTTCTAACATAAGGCTCAATCTAGCTTCTTATTTTAATTTTTATATCACATACTTGTGAAACGTGTTTATGAAAGTAATTTATGAAATAAACATAGTAGGGGATAAGGTTGTCTGATTTGCCAGCCAGTGTGGAGCGTGACTTGTAATCAACAAATACAGGTGTCCTGATCGAAGTTCTGCTGTGCTATCAAGCAAGACACTTCTCTCTGTGGATGCCTGTGGTAGAATGTGGTTAATAATACCAGCCGGATCCCATAGGGCACTGTGCAGACTTGTTAGCATGCACAGCTCCTTGAACTCAGAAGAGAGGTAGCTAACTGGGGCTTTGTGCCACACTCATCAGAGACCTCTGAACACTGATTCTTTTGATTCTGCTAACTTTGAACAGAGTTTACATTATCTTTCAAGGAAAATGACTGTATCACTTAGTCACAAACCTGTAAAAATACATAGTTTCTTTCCCTTTCTTTCTTCCTCAGAGCCCTATGAGTTTGTCTCTCTTGAATGGCTGCAAAAGTGGTTGGATGAATCCACACCTACCAAACCTATTGATAATCATGCTTGCCTGTGTTCCCACGACAAACTTCATCCAGATAAAATATCAATTATGAAGAGAATATCTGAGTATGCGGCTGACATTTTCTACAGTAGATATGGAGGAGGTCCAAGACTAACTGGTAATTCAAGATATCTTTTCTGCTTAAAAAGAGTAATGCATTAAGTTTTCATTATTTGTGAATGGGACTGGATGCTGATTTATCCCAAGCTGTTAGGTGGAATGTTCCTATACTTTGTAAAAAGAATTTGCTAAATAAAGTAGAAGTTAAGCTAAGCAATTGATACAGAGTATACACAATAGGACTCTTTCAAGAAAAAACATCTGGTTGTAATTTGTGTGTATGTTGGTTTACATAGTAATCTTTAAAGTACTTGAACCTTTGTTGATTCCAGTCTTGTTCCTCTAGGTTATGGGGATTTCTAACAGCATTTGATCTGTAGATTGTTAGTTTATTACTGGAAGCTTCTTGATGTTACTCTGAATATATAGAGCTATATATAACCACAAAGTATCCATTATTTTTGGTTGTGGCTACCTCTCCTTGAAACAGTTTTCTTTTTAATTAGCAACTGGCAACCCTGGTCCATGTCAGATCCATAGATGAAGCTAAGGAATTATATAACCCTAGCCCCCTTTCCTTAAATGAAATGCTGTTTTCTGACTGTGTACAACTCACCCCATAAGAACTGGCATTTAATTACATGATTTGAGCAGTCCCGTATGCACATCTGGGTTTTGCTTCCTAAATTTCTGTACTAAATTAACAATCAATAAACCATGCAATGAGAGTGTTTCAAAGACTCATGATTCATATAATCCCTAGCTGTGTATTTTCAGTCAAATCCTTCATTTTTTTTCTTTTCCCTTTAGTGTTCTCTGCTTTGAAAATCACTTTTATATGAAGACTTACATTAATAGTTACTAAATACTTACTTCCCCAACCATATCATTTGTTTATCATCATGTAAAATTTTTATCTGAACCTTGTAATATATTGTACTTGTTATAGGTAGTTTTAATATGTTGTAACATTTTGTTTCAGCTTTATGTAGGTAACAGCATTGCTATCGGAGTATCTAGATCATCAAAATTTAGGATGTATACTGATACACTGTACTGCCAAAATCTGAGACTTTTGGAATTCTTGTGTGTTTCGTTCAGTGTTGAACATTTTCCTAACAGGAAGATATGTGTGAAAGTATATTTCCTTTCATTTTTTCTTGCCTCTAGTGAAAGCCCTGTGTAAGGAATGTGTAGTAGAACGTTGTCGCATGTTACGTTTGAAGAACCAACTAAATGAGGATTATAAAACTGTTAATAATCTCCTGAAAGCAACAGTAAAGGGGTATGTTGCACAGCATGTGTTTATGATAAACTAGGACATTTTCAGGAAGTTCCAACCAAGCAATGAATAGGAGGTGGAGGGAACAGGATAATATTTAGGGCAAGAACAATTAGATACCTGAAGTTTAGTAGTGGGTGGAAATGACCCAAATGAGGACCAGTGTTTGTAACTCATTTTGGATGTGGTCTTTACAGAGAGGGATGGAGGGGAGGAGAACATTAGGAAATAACTCATGTCTGGTTTAACATTCACTGTTTAACAGCGATGATGGATTCTGGGTGGGAAAATCTTCCTTGCGGAGTTGGCGCCAGCTAGCTCTTGAACAGCTAGATGAGCAAGATGGTGATGCAGACCAAAGCAATGGGAGAATGAATGGCAACACCTTCAGTAAAGGTAACTTGGATGTAGAGCGTTACGAAATTATAAATATTTGTTCCTAACAAAATTGGTTTAATATCAATTGAGACTGATCAATGTATTTTAGAGAATCTTATTAAATCTATAGGTCTCAAGTCTAATATATTGTCTAATATAATAGATCTAATAAGCTCAGCAATTCCCACGTGGAATTCTTCTTTATAGCCAGCCATGCCTTGGGCTCAGATTCTGTCTGGGTAATCACATGCAAAATTAATATTCTGCTCCAGGATAAAAGCTGTAAGAAAAGCAAGTGCAGCGATTACACAGTACATTTTGGTTTTAGATTGTCCACTGCCTGCCTTTGTCAAGTATAAATGTATGTGCACTCCAGCACTTTGTCATCAAGGACAGAGGGCAGTGTTGGAATAGCTTTTAGCTTGTAGTCTTCTGAGATACCTGGGTTAACTGAAACTCTTGTTAAGTAGGAAATTGTGTTATTGTGAATCAATCGTTAAACTTAATTTTATAATCAGTGCTTTGATTTGTAGATCAAAAGAAATTAAGGTATTTGAAATTACTTTTCAATTTAAAATGGAGACTAGTGATTGATCAGATTTACACATTCAGAGATTAATTGCCCATAAGCTGTGACCTGTAGCTAATGTGATCCAAAAGCAGTTGTTTTCATATCATTTTCTGTTTTCCCCTTCCTCTTTGTTTTCTTTTAGTGGTATGTGCTAGACAAGTGTTCTTCCATTGAACTATATCCCAGCTTCCTTGAATTTTCCTATTTACGAATATTAGTGTATGCATACATGTATTAAATTATTTCAATATTGTTAAGCTTTTTATTAAAATATTCTGTTTCCTGCACTAGAGGCAGTATATATCATATTTATTTGTTATGGATTTTCCTGTGTCACTACTCCACTTTTTGAGAAAATTAAAACATCTGAGTAGCTTAGTGTGCAGTTCCTGAGCTGTGTCCTTTGGGTGGTGCTGGAGGCTGAGCTCAGGCCCTCTCATGTGCCACACATGCTCCTCACCACTCATCTGCACCCCATCTTCTTGCTATCTTTTTAAACATTTTCAAATGTGAAGAGTTTTTCCTTTGATCAAAAATAATTTTGTCGTGCCATGTAATTTGTGAACATAACATTAAGTTTTATTGTTGTGCCATTTGAAAGACCATACTATAATCTTAGTGGTATCACATAACCTACGTAGTGTGTTAAGTTTTTGTTTGCTGATCTTTGGAGCCTCTTAATATATCAGTGACTTTCATTTTAAGTAGAGTTAGATGCCATAAAAATAGAAAGTGCCTCAGTGTTGTCCTAGCTTAAAAATATTGTTTTGTGTTGCTTTTTATGCTTCTCCTTTCTCCATTCAAAAATATTAAAAGCTTGAAACAACTCATGTAGCAACGTAAACTTAAAAGCCTTCCCACAAGACATAATCACTGCAAATAGTGGCTTTTTATAATGGAGCTCATAGAGGTACAACTGTGTGTTGCTTCCCTGTCAATATGCTGCTCTTTTTATTTAACAGCTGCATTTTTTTTTTATTATTCATATGTGCATACAAGGCTTGGGTCATTTCTTCCCCCGTGCCTCCACCCCTCCCTTACCACCCACTCCGCCCCCTCCCTCTCCCCCCTACCCCCTCAATACCCAGCAGAAACTATTTTGCCCTTATTTCTAATTGCATTTTATTATGTAAATATAGTTAGCTGATTCTGTTTCACCTTTTCATAATTACTGCACAAGGCACAGATGTAGTAAGGATCTTTTTGTGTTCTTGTATCTTCATCTTTGCATCATTTTCAGATTATTTCTGAGATATAAATTCCTAGAAATTGTTGGGTCAGAGTTAGACACATTGATGATTGCCACATTCTGACACATAGGCACATATTGATTAATTTCCTCCAAAAGCAGATCCAGGCTTGTTTCTGCATACTTTCACCAATATGAAGACTATGTGAGTCACAGCAGTTTTATTAGTCTGATATATGAAAACGACAACCAGGGTTGAGGCTTATCATTTTCAAAGTTACCACTGAGCTTTAACCATCATCTCACATTTGAAGTTACTTACTTGTATTGTGTGTGTGAGGCACACAGAGAGGAGGCAGAATGTGTATCTGGTCAAAAAAACTTCCTTTGCTCATTTGTCCACTTGAGGCTTTGTGTTTGTTTGTTTTTTGCAGCACTGGGGATCGAGTACAGGCCTTTCATTTATTGGGCGAGTGTTCTGCCATTGGGCTACACCTCCACCCCTACTTGAGGTGTTTTAGTTGTTAGCAAATGTTTTTTGTGTACATTGCATGTGTTAAAAATGTTAGTTAAGGGGGTGGTGGAGAGGCCCTGAGTGCCAAAAAAACGTTAGCTGTTTAACCTGGAAAGCCCATGGACTACTAGTCTAATCTGAAACTTTTCTGTCATCAGAGAGCTCCAAATTGGCAGCCACAGCCCGAGGACAAGTAGGAAAAGCAGAAAATTGAAAAAGAGGTGTAACAAGAAAAACAAAGTGCTTGTTTTGTTTGTTTGTTTGTTTGTTTCTTTTCTCTTGATATGGGACTTGCTTGGTAGGTGCTCTACCACTTGAGCCATTCTACCAGCCCTTTTTTATATTGGGTATTTTTGAGTTAAGGTTTTGCAATTTTCTTGGTCTCTGCCTCCTGAGTAGCTAGGATTACAGGCTTGAACAACCAGCACCTGGCTACAGAGTTCTTCTTACTACATAGCATATTTTGTCATTAAAGTTTTAAGTCCTTATTTCATTTGTCTGTAGAGGTTTCTGTTCAGCTCCTACAAGAAGAGGTAGATGAAAATGACATGACATGACATGCAGATGACTAACTTGTTTTATGACACTGTGTTCTGAATACCTTGACTTGAATTAATAGGATATGTAAAATTTTCAAATTGAAAAAGGAACATTTTCTTACATAACCTAAGTCTTTAAAAAGTTAACTGTCATTAAGATAATTTTCTTGCCTTTTAAGGCAAAGAAATATAACACTTCTTTGCAAAACTGTAGGAATCACTTGGATCCAATTTTCAGAATTAAAGTTTTCTTTGCTCAAAATGACGTGGAGTGTTATATCTGATGCACATAACTTTTAAATACAACATCCAAAGCAGTTATTGTCTGTATTCCTTTTGATTAGATGAGTCAAAGGAAGAAAGAAAAGAAGAAGAGGAGGAACTAAATTTTAATGAAGATATTCTGTGTCCACATGGTAA